AAAATACAAACGAAAGACAAGAAAAAATTAAGAAACAAAACACTGTGAACGCTGAGCCCAAAACCAGACTGTGCCCATCCAAATGTCGTAGTAAGTCCATATCCGGCTTTCATCCTGTGCTGGCCAGTTCTTGGCGTGTGTCGACCCTCCCGAGATTGTCGCCGCGGTGGCGGGACGGTCCCGTGACGGCGTGCGTAAGGAAATAGCGTAAGGAATGGGTCAGTTGGCTCTTTACCTTTTTTCGCCCGTTTTCCCTCAATGGCCTTCAAGTGGTAAGCGGGCGTAAATGATTTGTATGTACACGTGAGGAAAAAAATAGGTAAGAAAAAGAAAAATTGCCAGCATATATCCGCGGAGTGAATGATGTAGAGTCGGGCGAAGCATTCGTCCGTCCATTCGTTCTTGCTTCAGTCCGTCCATGCGTCCGTCCGTGTGTGCGTCTGTTCGTGCGTCCGTCCCTGCATTCGTCCATGCATCCGCCCCTGCGTCCGTCCTTCCATCCATTCATCCGTGCAGCCATACGTGCGTCCGTCAATGCATCTGTCTGTGTTGCCGTTCATCCATCTATTCAACACTCCAAGTACCACCATCTCGCATCTTTTAATCATATATTCTCCATATAGAAGCACCGCCATCCAGCGGACATTTCAAGGACTAAACGAGAGGTGGCATAGCCACACTTTCTTACGGCTTGCGCTTGGGGTCTACTTCCCACCTTTAACCACCTCGAGTTGATGGTATATACTAGTTCACTGTATTCATGGCATTGCGGCCCAACGCTCGCTAAACATTTCTAAAACCAAGGACGTTAAGCCCAGCGAGTATAACGTAGCAACATTTTCCTGTCAGGTAGTGCTCAATGTACATGCCAATGGCTGCTAATGGGAAATGAGAGACAAGAGAAATCGGGTTTACTTTCTCACGGCTTGCGCTTCGTATCTAGTTCCCACCTTTAACCACCTCGAGTTCATTCATGGTATATACTAGTTAATATTATTCATGGCACTGCAGCTGGCTCAATGCTCGCTAAACCTTTCTAAAGCTGAGGAGGTTACACCCAGCGAGTATAACGTAAAAAACCTGTCTTGTCGGATAGTGCTCAATGTACATGTCAATGGCTGCTAATGGGGATTGCAGCGTGCGCGTTAACTTAAAGCCGAATGCTCCTGTTTTTCATTCCCCATGAACAGCCATTGGCATGTACATTGAGCACTATTTTGTATTGTTCAACAACTCACAGAAGAAATCTCTCACCAGCACCACCTTGAAGGTCAAAATTTTATAGTTGTTACATACTACAACGTCTACGAGGGATGAACAGAGGCCGCTATAAGGAGCTCTGCCCCTAAAAAAACAAGGACAGTGTACGCGTACGAGTCAGTCAGAAAAAACAAACATGGTCTCCAGCTATGAATCTTTGCCACCAATTTCCTCCTGGCTTAATTCTCGGAGGCAGGAGAGTCTTCCGGGGTCCTCGCTGATGTCGGCTACTAATGTTCACACTTTGAAAATAAAGTATGCCTCACGCTGCTCGCACTCGCGACTGTTTGAGAAACCGGACTGTAAAAGAGTTACGCTGATATCTTCAAAACTGTTGTTTGGCAGGCGCAGATGTCTAGATAAGGTAGCTTCGGCAGTCAAGTGGCGTGGCACCGGTGATTATTGACCCGCGGCCGGAATGGCGTGTCTGTTTGCCCGATATATTCTTGTCCACAGTTGTTGCAATGAAGTATGTATAATACGTTACTGTAGTCACAATTAAGGCTTTCGGTTATGCAGAATTAGAAATCCGAAAAGTTCGCTTTTGATTCACGTGTTATGAACATCTGTGGCCATACCTTGCATCGAGCTTTTTCGCAGGGTTGGCACCCTGATTGAATCTTGAAGGGGTTTGTTTTTGCTCTGACAAAAATGTTCTTCAGGTTTTTATCCCTGTGGTACACCATGTGAGGTGGCTTCGCGAAAATTGAAGTTAGTCGTTTGCTTTGCCTGATTATGTTAAAATGGCGGGAAAATATGTTGTTGATTCGTGGCACTGATGAGGAGTAAGTTAGTACAAGGTTCGTTTGGGAAGTCGTTTTTGATACTCTGTTTTGTCCCTTAATTATATCATTCATAATTATGTCATTATATATATATATATATATATATATATATATATATATATATATATATATATATATATATATATATATATATATGGAATATGGCACAACGGGAGCGTTGTCAACAAGGATAAATATATTTCCCAACAGTTTCGGGAGGGGTCCTCCCTTCATCAGGGGATTAGTTATAACTCATCCCCTCATGAAGGAAGGACCCCTCCCGAGTTCGAAAAATATATATATATATATATATATATATATATATATATATATATATATATATATATACATTTAGGATATATATATAAAATATATATATTTTATATATACATTTTAGGATATATATATATATATATATATATATATATATATATATAAATGAGATATAACAGACAGTAATGCCAAGGAATGTACAGGGGAAGTTATTAAAACCAATGGAATGTAAATAAGAAGAAAGAAAAGTGGATAAAAAAATTACCAACTGTGAGCAGGAATCGAACCTACGACCTTCGAATTACGCGTTCGATGCTCTGAGCTATCACAGCGGCCCTCCCTCCATCCACGTTTTTGGGTTTATCTGTGAATTTAGAAGTAGGAGCGACAGTCAGCGCCATCTATAAGCCAAACAACGAGTGTGAAAACACTCTTATGCGCATGTTTGGCGTCACGTAGCACGTAAACTTATTATGAGCGGGCAGCTGATTAATTGTCCCTCTTATACAACCTAAACACACCAAGTCTGCCAGTACGAGACCCTCGTTCAATGAAATAAGGGAAAGAAGTGTATACCTAAGGGCTCGTTTTTCCGTGTTTAACACAATATTAATGAGATATAACAGACAGTAATGCCAAGGAATGTACAGGGGAAGTTATTAAAACCAATGGAATGTAAATAAGAAGAAAGAAAAGTGGATGAAAAAATTACCAACTGTGAGCAGGAATCGAACCTACGACCTTCGAATTACGCGTTCGATGCTAACGCGTAATTCGAAGGTCGTAGGTTCGATTCCTGCTCACAGTTGGTAATTTTTTCATCCACTTTTCTTTCTTCTTATTTACATTCCATTGGTTTTAATAACTTCCCCTGTACATTCCTTGGCATTACTGTCTGTTATATCTCATTAATATTGTGTTAAACACGGAAAAACGAGCCCTTAGGTATACACTTCTTTCCCTTATATATATATATATATATATATATATATATATATATATATATATATATATATATATATATATATATATATATATATATATATATATATATATATATATATATATATATATATATATATATATATATATATATTTATGTTTGTGTGTGTGTGTTTGTGTGTGTGTGTGCGTTCTTTTTCATTTTCTTGCCCCAAGTTGCCCTCTCCAGCGCAGAGGGTATAGCGTACCAGATTATATTTACTGGTTTACCTCCAGGTCTTCTTCTTCACCTCTTTCCCTAGACAAACAAATAAAAAACATTGCCATACTTGTTCTAAAGAAAATATTGGTTATCCTTACTTTACTATGCTTATTTGTTATATTTTTATATTCATTTTATTTATTTGTTATATACCATTTACATCCTTTTTTCAGAATCATTGTGGTAGGTGCCTATTTGTTATCAAAACTTATTAATAAAGTTAAAAACCACATTGGGACGTCAAGTGAGCCCTGGAGGCAGCGCGGGAGCAACAACTCCAAGCGGCCATCTAGGCGGCCTCAGGCCCGGGCCTTCCATTTGCCGGATACTCAATAAAGTTATTTATTCATCATCATCATCATCATCATCATCATCTCTATGGAATTTTTGCTTGTCTCCAAGTTATCGTTATACTGTGTTCTTTCTGCCGAGCTCTACTCCATCACAAATGATGGCTGATTTCCCGCTATGGGTTCAGCCAAACATTTTAGGACGCCAAAAATCAACCAAAGGATGGGGAAGTTGCATGTGTTCTTATAATTTATGCTTAGTGCCACACATATTGTTTCTTCATTGTGATGTAGCAAACAAGGAAGTCTTAGCAAACAAGATTATGTGATAACTTTGTTGGCTGTACGATCAATTTTCGAGGTTTAACATAATGTTGAGCGCTAATCTATGCTTATGTACACCACCACTTTGTTTCATCGTACGGCAGTGCTCCTGTAGCACTAAAGGACAGCGTTAGTTACAGTTGCGTTTCGCTCTTACGTTCTGATGCGCCACTCAGGCTGCAATAAAAATAACAAATAATAGTGTTTTACTTCCGAAAACCAAGTTTTGATGATCAGGGACGCTATAGGGGACGGCTCCAGAAATTCGGACCATCTGCTATTGTAATTGATTGATTGATATGTGGGGTTTAACGTCCCAAAACCACTATATGATTATGAGAGACGCCGTAGTGGAGGGCTCCGGAAGTTAAGACCACGTGGGGTTCTTTAACGTGCACCCAAATCTGAGCACACGGGCCTACAACATTTCCGCCTCTATCGGAAAAGCAGCCGCCACAGCCGGGATTCGAACCCGCGCCCTGCGTGTCAGTAGCCGAGTACCTTAGCCACTAGACCACCACGGCGGGGCGATCTGCTATTGTAATATGTGCGCTGACAACGCTTCATGCACGAACCTCTGGCCAATCACTTTTGTTAAAATGAGACCGCAAGCCAACGTGCATGAGAGCCGCCACAATCTGGTCAGCAGCCGAGCATCGTGACAACTGCACCACTGAGGTTGACTGGCTTCATTGAAGAGGGCACCCGATAACAAGAAGAACAAGGAAGCTGATGGAAAAACAAGCTGCTGACGAGTCATCGTTCTGGTTGGCGGCTCTGTTTGAGGCCACAAAAATGATTTTCTCTACTCGTAGTAAATTGAAAGTCATGTTTATTACATAGTAGTTCTTCGCGGTCGGCCCCCTTCTTTCCCAGGGTGAAGTTACACTCACTGCTGGCGCTGGTGTTGCTGCTGCTGCTGTTGCTTTCCCCAGCCACGTCCCCAGCCGTGGCCCCAGCCATTGCCCCAGTTGCCCCAGCTGTTGCCCCAGCCGTTGCCCCAGCCATGGCCCCAGCCATTGCCCCAGCCATTGCCCCAGCCGTTGCCCCAGCCGTTGCCCCAGCCGTTGCCCCAGCCGTCGCCCCAGCCGTTGCCTCCCCAGCCCCAGCCTGGGTGCTGTCCCCAGCCGCCCCAGCTTCCCCAGCCTGGTTGGCTTCCCCAGCCGCCCCAGCTTCCCCAGCCTGGTTGGCTTCCCCAGCCGCCCCAGCTTCCCCAGCCTGAAGGCCTTCCAACTGCAGCACCTGCGTATATGTAAGGTAGGAAAGGATTTAGGTTTGATTGTTCAGCAGCTTGACAGTGTTCTCAGCCGGCTAAATTCTTTGTTTAAGGTAGCAATAATATAATTACAAAGCGATAACTATTTACATATCTCCAACGTAGCACATACACATAAATGTTGATGCTCTTTCAGCTGTATGCCACTAATCTTACCTGCTAAGCGATCTAAATATAAAGCGAGTGCATCGCATGGGTGTGCGAACCTCTGTTTCTTCTTCATTTCTGACATTCCTCTATTACCTTAGCATATATATAAACCACTGTAATTCGTATTTAGTAAATATCGTTGCTGTTTACGATTAGCCGTTCTAACATTATTGTACGCCCATCGACTATTTTTCGCAGGTTCAAAGTTTGCTTCTTTCTTTTATGACTTCGTGCAATGTGGGCAGTTTCAAAGCATTAGCTGTTTGGCTTCAGTGTTACATGAAACCAACTTGGCAGTATAGTGGCCTTGCCAGCTACAAACACCTGCACTGAAATTCATTTTCGTAGATCGCAAAACAATAGGAGCACATGATGGACCTAAACGTTCCATGTGTTTTTGTCAATGTTGAAAAACCGTCTCCCTACATAATTAAAAGATGTATCAGCATACTACATATTGCACTTTTTTCCCAATTTTATGCTCTTTTAAATGTACCATAGTAATCAAAATTTCAATAATACTTTTTTGGGAGAATTTTTTATTAGTAGACTAAAATTTTGGGTTAATTTGAATCTTTCAAAGTTTGTAATACGAAAATTTTGAGTGTGAAATTTCAATTCTGGTACAGTAGTAGTTTATAGCTATGCAGAATTAAAGGGAAAATGTCAACCTGCTATCTTGGAATAGACAGGGAAGAATTGTTCCTTAGTAATAAAGCATGTGGTTTTGAGAATATTGAGGTAAAACTTTGAAAGCTGCTGAGAAGCGAACATCTCAGTCACAAGTACTCTCAACTGTTCCACTTAGTGGGTACAAACATAGGTAATATTGCCAAAAGCCTTTTGTTTTTCACTTCCGAACCCATCGTCTTTCTTGCCTTGTTTCTATTGTAAGTGGTTGTTCAACTCTATTCGCACTGTATCGTCTCGTCAAGTGCAGTCAACTTTTCTAAGTAAATTGACTGTGTTTCTTTCAAGCTATATCCTAATGATTTTAGAATTTGGGTTCGTCTGTACTGTCAGTATAAACGAAAGAACAGCACCCAGTGTCCCAGTAATTAAGCTTCTCAAGCCTGAATTGTTAGAACATTTCTGTTGTCCTTCTGCACGCTATTCGCCTCGAAAGACGCGGAAATGGTTTATGCGTTCAACGGCGAAGAGGTCGTTCGATCAGAGCTCGGCATTTCAGTACATCACCCGAATTTATTCGTGTTCACGAGAGTACTCTACTTGTTGCTGTGAAAGGTGCGCTCGTTGAAGTCTTTTGGACTCTCAGCATTTCAGTTTCTCAACAGACACTTCAGACACAAATTGTAACGAATCCAGGAGTTCAAATGGGTCGAAAATTCGGGTTTCTTTATAAAGATGGTCGTAAACATGGAATGCATGAGAGGAGCTTGTCCTTGGATCCGTGTTCACTGACTACTTGTTTTCAGAAAAGCCAGTTTTCAGCAACAAATCAATGGGCTACGAAAAGCCCAAATATGTTGAACATTCGTATTTTTTTATAGAGATGGACCGTAAACATGGAATGTATGCGAGGAGCTTGTTTTTGGATGCTTGTTCATTGACTACTTGTTTTCGGAAAGCCAGTTTTCAGCAACAAACCAATGGGCTATGAAAAGCCCAAATAAATATTTAAGTAAATTAAGTAATTTAAGTAATTTTAGGTTATTTAGGTAATTTTAAGTAATTTAAGTAATTAAGTAAATAAATAAATATTTATATAAATATTTGCCCAAATAAAGTATAGTTTGTTCTTGCATTCCCATAATTGGCGTACTTAATATGCATACGTATATACATAAGCTGGATATATAGCCGGTCGTTATTGGCAACAGGTTAGCATAAGTACACGCCAACGACTCCCCCTCCCCCTCCCCCCCCGCCCCGAGACAGAGGACTGTTAAGACGACATGAGGTGACCAGGCACTTGCCGCCTTTGATGTCTAATTCTAGAGCTTTCTGGCTGAGACATGTTCTCCATGATTCAAGCGTATTTTGAAAAATAAAAACTGCATTTGATTAGTATTGGCAAAAATACCTGCTAGAAAACCTGGTGAAAACGGGTTAATGCACTCCGCAGTCCTTGTTCATAATTCCTTCGCTTCGCCCTGCTAGGTGTCTGTGTTTTACGCGATGTTTCCTTTTTGCGTGAATATTCGCCGATAAAATTTACAGAACCGCACACAGGCCAGAATTTTTCAAACAATAAGAGCATACATACTTGTAGTGTAGCACTGTACTAGCTGCTTCTGAAAGGGCTGCAACCCTAGATTACGCCATCGGTTTTTTTTTTTTTCGTGTCCTTCTATATTTCTTAAACGTCGCAGTAATATACCTATTGCATTTAGCAGTGCTACCTCAAATATTACAATCTGTATATAGCTCCAAGGAAGCCCAATATTATCGTATGACCATCTTTCTTTTGGGGTGAATCTCCGCTTTGCCTTTTGAATTGATGCTACAACAACAAATCGCGTAAAATTGAAATTCCAGCTACCTGAGAAGAGCATCCTTGTCCGAGCTATCATGACGAGTCAACGAAAAAGTTCGACAAATAAACTGCACTCATATGGCCAGGATTAGTGACACTTAGCCTTCCAAGGAATTTTTTTTTAGCTAAACGTGCATTCTCACATAATGTAAACAAACCTATGGTCGTTACAAGCATCTACTGACAACGGCGTATTGTTCAATGTGGTAGAACTTGAGGCAACATTATGTTCGCACTACGGCTACCGTAAATGGTCTCAATATTGAAGTCGACATCAAAACATGAAATAACTTGACCACAAGAAATACCAATATATTTATCCAACATTTTAATACGGCTTACCGGTTGATCCTGGTTTCTGTATCGTGACTGCTTGGCTTGATGGGCTTTGCTGAACGGCTGCCATGGCACAAGCCGCCAATGCGGCGAATACGCACAGTACCAAAAGACGGGCCATGGTTGATAGTTCCAGCTAGGAGCAGCTGATGAAGATCTCCAAGACACCGATGCCATTTATGTAGAAATTTTCACCGTGGTCCGCCAATCAGAAGAAAGCATATATCTAAGTAAATATTCCCAAAAGAAAATAGCTCATATACAAGTACACATTGTTCAATTTCTGGTGAATTCACCTATTGTGTGAAAAAAATTGTTGTTTTTTTCATTACAACGGCTCACATCGACAACAAACGACGAACTGAAAACAAACGACGAACTGAAAGCCTACATCTGTGTAAATATTTCCAAAATAAAAGATCTCATGTACAAGTACACATTGTTCGATATCTGGCATCATGACCTATTGTGTGAAAGGAAAAAAATATTTTTTCTATTAAAACGAGTCACATCGACAACACACGAAAAATTTAAAATTTGTTTGCGTTCCACGCATAAAAAATGATATCGCTTTCGCCTCATCATCATGAGAAAAAAAAACAGGTTTCATCAAATATGCTGAAAATTTTTAGAAAAGAAAATAATAGACAACAACCTGTGTGTGGCACGAAATCCCAATGAAATCCGTACAGATTTCTCAGAAAGAAAATGATTTCAGTTGCCGAAAAATTCTTCCTGGTTCGAGGATTGAAACCGAGACCAATGCTTTTCCGGTGCAGCCGCTGTTAATACGCAGCGCGAGAATGGATTCATTGACCACTCGAAGAACATGGACATAAGTAATGCAGATTAGTTCTGCAGAGACCCACAAGGTAACTGAAGGGTTAAGAAAGCGAGAAGAGCCAACCAACCTATTGTGGCACGAAGCCACAAAAAAAAATCCGTACGGATCTTTCAGAAAAACGCTTCTTAGTTGCCGAAAAATTCATACTGGTCCACGGATTTCCTTGTGCCTTCGCGGCACAAACGGGCGGTTGTCTATTTTCTATTTCTTCGTCCTTCCACTACTTGTGGTTCTCCGCAGAACTCGTTTTCAAAAAAAGGTGTTCTCCAACAAAACAGTACGTCAAACTTTTGCAGCAGAACTGTAATAGTAATACCACGTAGCCACTAGATCATGCAGCGAAATAAAAATGTTAGGAAACATTATGTTCATTGTCCATTAATTTCCCAACAATCTCGATTTCAACAAAAAATTATCAGAAATATGTATACAGTTGTCTTATTTCTCTGCGATGGTGGTGGCAATTATATCACAGATTTCTACTACTGATTGTCCTACCATAGAGCCCCTACATTTCAAATAAACCCTAACGTTCGCGACACGTCAATTGTGATTGCAGACATGGGCAATCGAATCCTATACATATTACATTCAACTCCTGTGATACAGCCGTCACGTTGGGTTAACCTGTAGATTAGATAAGCGCAATCCGCTGATGTTGATTTATGTAGAAGTTTTCAGGGCTAGCGTCCTCACGATCACCAGCGCCTTATAGCAACCTAACACTTCTGCTGTTGCTAATACCCATGTTTCTGCTGGTGTTCTGACGCAAGAGCAAAGAAGCAAGTAAATAAACGAATGCAAGTACTCAAAATATGTCGGTGCGTGACACAATTGGACATTATTTAGCGTCATTTCGTAGCGTGTCACTCACAAAAAAAAAATCAAACATGGTAACCCAGTCATGTTCCGTGCAGGGAATTTCCCTTTTTAGGAAAATTTTTGCCTATCATTCTGAGCCAAAGGGGGGGAAAGAATCTTCTTAATATTGCAGGGAATTTCAGAAATGGAAAAATTTTCCTATGATGACCGACGATTAGTGGTCACAGCGCGCCTTCATCTGCTGTAATTTGTTCTGGTGCATGCATCACGCAAGCATAGCCCTTGAAATTTGTTTCTGATATTTACGTGGAGCAAGTGCTAGTTCGCTATTGGTGGTAGACTTGAAGCCCATAATGTGCAGTGTACCAGCAGTATATGAATTAATAAAGTCATGTTTCTTTCTTGTGTGACAGTGGAAGGGCCAGTCATGATTTCAAAAGTCGCCAGTACGTCAGGCACATGTAATTGTAGTATGTACGTCCGTGGATGGGCGCGGAAAGTATAGTACTGTTGGGCAGAGAAATATGCTAGGAATGTCGTGAACATTTGCAAGGGAAAATTTCTAAAATGGGGAATTTTCATGTCTATGAAAGAGAGTTTTTTGGCGTAGTACAGAACATCACTGCCGTAATCTTCCCTTCGCGTGCTTCGCATGTGGGATCTGCGGAAATCAATTTTTCTCTTAGTATATCGAGACTTTCTGCCACAGAGGTGTCTCAACACTGTCGTGTGAACTTTCTCAGTCTATTCTTACAGCTACTGTGTTGATGGACACCAAACCATGTGTTTTTGCATTCTATATGCTCTGTTTGGTGGGTATGGGCCACACGCCACTAAGAAGAAATATTTCAGGTACTCGTGACAAAAAAGCTATGATATTATTTTCATGAACGCGCAATTCGGCTCCTCGTGCAGTAACGCCTTCCTGTATTAGTTTTCATTTATACCGTGAAAAGACAATTCCGAGAGTGCACCGACGTAGTAAGATAGATAGATAGATAGATAGATAGATAGATAGATAGATAGATAGATAGATAGATAGATAGATAGATAGATAGATAGATAGATAGATAGATAGATAGATAGATAGATAGATAGATAGATAGATAGATAGATAGATAGATAGATAGATAGATAGATAGATAGATAGATAGATAGATAGATAGATAGATAGATAGATAGATAGATAGATAGATAGATAGATAGATAGATAGATAGATAGATAGATAGATAGATAGATAGATAGATAGATAGATAGATAGATAGATAGATAGATAGATAGATAGATAGATAGATAGATAGATAGATAGATAGATAGATAGATAGATAGATAGATAGATAGATAGATAGATAGATAGATAGATAGATAGATAGATAGATAGATAGATAGATAGATAGATAGATAGATAGATAGATAGATACGACGAAAGTGTCCTTGGTCGGCAAAAAAATTCGAAGCATTTATTATAGGGATATCTTGATATTTTAACACATGCGTGTCACCCTTTTTCTGTAACACTATGGGGACTTCATGTTTCACACCTTTCCTAAAAAAATGAGCCCTGTTTTTGTGTGTTTACCGAGTATGCAGAAGCGGATTTCAGCAATGAACGCCTTCTGACATCAACCCTCATTTGCTAGCTCAAAGAGACACTAACTACTAGCAAGCGAGGGTTGATTTCAGAAGGAGTTCTGACAGTATTTCAAAACACTTTTTCAAATTCTCTGGGGCTTTACTATTACCTCGAGGTTAGGGATTGGCTAATATTTCTACCAGCATCTCAGGAGGAAGGGCTCCATCCAGTGCCCTCCATACTTCTCTCAGTAAGACCACAAATCGACATTGTGTAGACAATTCAAAAGGGATGTTGCTGCATTTTACGCTCAACACGGAGAATAAAAGAAAACTTTTTGAATAACATACGCAAGAGGAGCAATGCGTCCTTTTTCTGTGTTATTGCACATGCCAGCGAGTAAACGAATTCGGACGAAGGCCCCTGACGTCTGAAGGACGCGCATGGAAATAGACCCCCTAGAAGCGTTTCGCTGTAAGTAACACCATAGTGAATAGTTTGCACATGGCGATGAATAGTTCGCAAGTTGTTCAAAATCTGCGTATTTTTCGTTAATGCCTACGCTCCGTATACTGTGCACGTTCTTTCCCTTGCCAATTACTCTCATTGCAAATAATAAAAAAACAGGCGACGACATGTATGCAGTGCGCCTCTCATGATCTCTGATTTTCGAAAACTGGAGCTACAGTGTTGACCTTTTTGGCCGCTTTCTATCAACAACTTTCCTAGCACATTTCGTTCGCTTCATTGATTGATTGATTGATATGTGGGGTTTAACGTCCCGAAACCACTATATGATTATGAGAGACGCCGTAGTGGAGGACTCCGGAAATTTAGACCACCTGGGGTTCTTTAACGTGCACCCAAATCTGAGCACACGGGCCTACAACATTTCCGCCTCCATCGGAAATGCAGCCGCCGCAGCCGGGATTCGAACCCGCGCCCTGCGGGTTAGCAGCCGAGTGCCTTAGCCACTAGACCACCGCGGCGGGGCTCGTTCGCTTCATTTGTTTAATCTATCACGTGGTACGGTCACTTGTAATCTTGTCTGATATCTAGTGATATTAAATCACTTTTTTTTACTTTTGTTTCGAGAGGTCATACAGTTGACAACCATTCACAGGCGTGATTTTACAGCGAACTACATCTAGCGATAGTGATGGTGATGCTGATGGTCATAAGAACATAGAGCGTGCCGACGATGAATGTATTCTACCAGTCACCTTCACTCTCACAACATTGCATGTATAGATAAAAGGTCGTGTCACGTTATGCTTGAGTGAGGACAGGTGCAAGCCGCTGGGCTTTTCGTCTCCATTGAGATGATCAGCTAACAAAACTGGCTTTAACATTTATAACTGGCAGAAAAACCCTGACTTCTTTTTGCCGTCGTTTACAATGTATATTTCCTTGTGCTTTGCATTTAGCCGTATTGACTTAACGCCTAGCCCTAACGTCCTCGTTTCTGAGTAGCATAAGGTTTTCTATGAAACAGAAAACTACTTAACACTCTCACGCTTTTTTTTTCGTGCGCACTTTAGCATAGTTTACAACGCCTCGGCACCGCACTCGAGTGATATTCTTAAAGCATCGTTCAAATGTACAGCAGAGAAAAGCGGGGCATTATTTGCTGGGAAGACAACGAGAAGTTTCCAATAAGCCCAGCTGAGATATTGTAAGTCTATTAGATGTGTACATGAATGGTAAAAACATGGGGTCTACAGTACACGTATGCGGGGTTATAATGACAATGGCGATGGCGGCATGCAGTCAATATAATTGCGCCTTTCTGAAATGATATGTCCACTATGTAAGCTATCTCGGCAAAGTATTGAGAGTTTCATACTCTCGACTTTTACTATCTAAGCTCTGTTTCCCAGCTTGTAATATAAGTAGTGAGATATCGTTAAACATAAAA